CCACGGGGAGTTCTTCCGGTAGAGCGGCCCTCTACCTCCGCTCAACCCCCGCCTTACCCCCAGTTCGACGGGGGTAGAGCGCCCCCACCGAAGAGCGCCGCGGAGACCAGCGTGGGGGGACCGTGTTCCAGCGGCGTGAGAGGGTGGCCCCGGCAGTCGGGGACACCCTGCGCTGCCATTTTTTGAATTTTTTTTCCTGAAAAAAAGGAATATAAAAAACCCTGTCGGGGTGCAAAATGGCTGGCTAGGCTCCGCCAGCCGACAGGGCACCAACGGCTAGAGGGAACCGCCCAGCGGCACCAAGTTTCAGGGCAGGCACACACACACACACACACACACACACACACACACACAGAGACAGAGAGAGAGAGAGAGAGAGAGAGAGAGAGAGAGAGAGAGAGAGAGAGAGAGAGAGAGAGCTCTGCCACAGTGCAGCGTTGCGCAGTGTGTTGGGAAGCGTAGGGGAGGGGTGTTGAGGGCTGCAGGGGAGGGATGTCGAGGGGTGTAGAGGTGTAGAGGGGTGTTTTTTATTTTTTCTTTCACGGTTTTTTCGGAGCAGGGGCCTTCAGCCTCATCATCTGCAACCCCCCACCACCCGCGTGTTTTTCAGAATCTGATTCGACGGACCGGAAAGGGTGTAGAACGGGGGGAGGGGGGCTTAGAGTGGCACTTTAACGGTGCCCTACTTCGCTCTACCAACCCTACCCCGGTTCCTAGCGTAGCCTGTCGAATGGAAACCTTGAGCTCAAGTGAAGACTTCCAAGAATTTTCAATGGAAAGGAAGTGCTATAGTTCTGCGGCTTCTGCTTTGCCAAGGCCATGCTGTTTTCTTGGCCATGACTCAGGACAATTTTTTCCTCCTGTTAACAAATGAAATAAAGTAAGGGGTAAGTTTCAGATGTAGCACATTCACCGTAGTTTCACAACAAAATATATTGGCGGGTCCCAAGTATTGTTGAAAAAATACATCTGTCATTGTAGCTTTACAGCTCCCGGTAGTTTCATAGCAAAAATATTTGCGGGCGGGGTCCTTACTTTCGTCGCAAAAATACATCTTTTGGACCCGGACAACATTTTCCTTCGGACACTTCACACGCTAGTTCTGCAATCACCCCTAAAATAAAATCCCAATCAGGAAAAAGAGGCTAGAAAATACTGGTACGTTTTTGAACTGATTTGTTTGGCTGCCATTAAACCAGCAATTCAAGGGTTATGCACTGTGTACTCGTCCATTTGGATGGTAGTGCTTTAGTGCGGGTGGGCAGCTGGCCACAGAAGAAACTTCCTTGACTGCCTTCTGCTCCAACCGTAGCCACTCAAGTGAAGAGGACTGCGGGGACAAAGAGAAAGAAACCAAAAAGAAAAAGAAGATGTTAAAAAAAGAAAAGATGATGGGTCTCTCTCGACTACTGTCCACTGTACAAAATTGTGGACAGCTCATGGACAACTATGGGAGCGTACAAAATTCATGGAAACGCGGGATCACTCCACTTGCTCTACACTATAGAACAGCCGAATTCGTGAGTTCCGGAGGAGACACCAGTGCAGCACTAGAAGACACAGCCTCTATAGCAATTTGTACACCCAGACTCCAGGCTCCACTTGCTTTACACTATAGAACAGCCGAATTCGTGAGTTCCCGACGAGACACGGGTGCAGCACTACAAGACACAGCCTCGATAGCAATTTGTACACCCAGACTCCAGGCTCGCTGTCAAAAAAGGTGGAGGGTCCGTGGGTTCCTAAGAGGACTGTCCACGAAAGTACTTGTGCAGGCTGGGAGCTATACAAAACTGGACAGCCAATTTTCCACGGTATTTCTGACAAATGTCCAAGCCATTTTGCACACCGATAATGGACAGTAAGTGGAGCGATGTCGCACTGTCAATTTTTGTACAGTGGACAGTAGTGGAGCGAGGCCTGATTTGTTGCAGTTCTCATTGTAAAAAGAAAGAAACGAGATGTTTAGTTTGCCTCATTGGAAGCTTCTCTCTGCTGTCAAGTCGAAAAAGCTGCCTCCAAGCCTGCAGAAGACAAAACCAACAGAAAACCAACAACTTGCCATAAGTGGTTTTAAGGACCTCGCTCCACTACTCACCCATTGTGCGAATGAGAATGAAGGCTTCACCACACCAGCTCCTGCAGTTGATCTGTTACATCGAATTTGGGAGCTGTCAGCATGTGACTCCCGAGGGCGCTGCTGAAAGTCAACTTGACATCCCACCTTGAAAGATGTATTTTCAAGAGACCTCGAGTTTGATCCGAGATTCAGGAGTGGATGTCAATGGGACAAACATACCACCGTCAGACAACTGACATTTCGTTAAAACTGACATTTTTTTTTTAAATCGCGAAATTGAATCAAGTGATAAATGTACAAAATTTTCGTCCAAAATCGTGACTTCTGGCTTTATATGTAGACCATGGTAGGTTGTAGTCGTATGGTACCACATGGACCATATATGGTAGGTGAGCTATCATGTACCATACACCATTAGGGGTACATCATGCTGCATACACCATACATATGCACATCATACCGCATACACCATACATATGCACATCATACCGCGTACACCATACATATGCTTATGGTATATGATACATTCTGCTCTTCACATAGACCATACATATCCAGATCTCACATAGACCATACATATGCAGACCTCACATTGACCTCTACATGTTGTCTGACTACGTTGAAGTTTCATGTTTGTGTCGCTGTATTTGCGATCTGTCGGTTAGAGCAATTCATATTGTGCATAACATTGTACATTTGCAAACTGCCCTAAGTGACTTGCAACCGAACAATTCAATGACTGTCACCTTTCAACCGCTTCAATCTCCTCTGCAATTTGTCACATGTTACGCATCCTCTCTAGTTGTTACTGAGTCTAGTGCGATCCGTCGTCTAATGCGTTGGATATCGTGCATATCAAATTCGAATGGTGGCAAACGACCTCTTGCCAAAGAGATGCGTATGCTAGCACAAATACTCCACACTGATGAATGTCTTTCTGTTTCGGGATACCAACCACCTCTAATACCTTCTTGAAACGTGTAGTGTTGACTTGCTTTCCTTGTTCTGTTGATCGATCGTACACGTACCTCGCGAAGTTATAGACTACCTTTTTTGCAACGTCAGAGTTTGGTTCCATCGAATCGTAGTACTCTATAACTTTTTGTCGAGGGTCTACTGCAACAAGTGTCCAATACTTCTCATGAATGTTATGGAATGAGGCTAAAATCAAGTCTGTATCTGCGATCAATACGTCTTTGAACCATTTAGCTACTTTGTCATAGTGATATCCGAAGTTGTCATCCATAAGATTGACCAAAAAGAAAGAGTTACATACAGTTGTTCGCGGGATCAAACCCTTTGCGTACTTCGCGGACATGTTAGATTGCGTATTGCACTGTCGATGGGAAGTCCTACACATGTTGTCAACCTTTATCATATTGCTGTAGAAGTTTATAATGTCATCGTTTAACCATCGTGTGCCACTCATTAGGATATTCATATCGTGGACCATGAATCTTAACTCCTCTCACGTCGCTGAATTCTTGGTGCTTGACAGTGTTTTGTAATTGTTGAACTTATTTTCCCATTGTCGCAATGCATCTTCTTCCGACTCGGTGATAGCATCCGTTGCTAATTGAATAGTCCACCCGTATTTACATCGG